TATATACATGTATATATATTCTTATACATTCATGTATATATATATATATATCTGTCTTCGGAAATAATTTCATACATATTGTGTAGGATGAACATATGATAAGCATATTTCGATATCATAATATGAGAGAGTTACAGTGAGATCACGCATTAATAAGAATATATTCGTGCACTATAATCTGGTCATAGAAGTAAACTCAAAGAGAACTGTGTTCAAGTTAGATATTGTCATATCTGAGCCTACCACAGCCAGCTCATGTGGGTACAATCTTCCAATTTCGAGGAAGGGACACTGGTCCTTGTACAACTGGAGCTTGTTAGACTGCGTGCTTGAGCGCTTTTAATGCGTCATCACACTCTTTAGTCCACAAGTCTCCTAGTTTGCCTTTATGACGCCCTTGAGACCTGTGATTATGCACACACAGGTGATGTCCCGACATATAAAATTGTTAGGCCTATATACAGATACAAGTTGCTACGCTATAATTCATATGTACACTAGATTTTTTTAATTATCCACGTCGCTTCCGGTTCCCATTATTCTCATTGGGCTGAGATGTAGGCGGAGGCTGATGTGCTTGTTGTCTATACGGTGTTGGCTGAGGTGATCTCGCCAACTGTTGTTTAGCTGCCAGGCTTCGCTGCAAGTCTATGGCTGCCTCTTCATCATTCGATCGCACGGGATGGCCGGCGCTGTTGACCATCTGCAGATTGATACCAAGGTGAGAGTCAGATAATAAAGTCGGAGATAATTACAGTAACAGGTGGAGACGGCACGATTGGTCATAAGCGCAAAGGCCACGATTGTAGATCATCGTCGCACACATCGGGTCAAAATGAAGCACGACTACCAGAAAAGAACTAGACACGTAACACCCAAGACATGATAGAGAGAAGGAAGCTGCCAGCGCATCTTCCACTTGGTTGAGAGAAACAATGACAGAAATGGCAGCTCGCAAATCAGCTGGCAGCGGACAAAAAAACTTGACAAGGTAACATCGCACAAAAGTACAAAGGTACGACAGGCAGCCAAAGACTCGAGAGAAATGTCAATTGTATCTGATTAACAAAACGAGGTGGGGATGCCCAAAAAGTATCAAGTGAAGTAAACAGCTCCCCGTACACAACCGCATAATACGAACCGCTAGTGGACATGTGTCAAGATATGTACAACTTACCATTAGCACTACATTTAGGTCTGGATTTATGCTCGGTATTGCGAGCTTGACTCTTCGAACAGGTTTAAGTCCAGTGGTTTCTCGGACCAAAGTATTGCCCTGCTCGACCCAGTGCTCATGAGCAACGTCTCCATCCGCGTCCTTCCATGCATTTCTGAGAAAATGATTATAGTATTAGATTTGATATAACACAGTACTACCCCAAATTTAAACTGCTGCGTTTAAATAACTAAAGCTGTGCCAGACCACCGGCAATTTCACATTTCAAAATCATAGCAATTTATTCGATAAATGCGCAGCACAGATGTAAGTGGATCGCAGCAAACATTGAGCTCGTAATTTCGAAGTACACACTAAGAGATATGATCAAACTCGCTCGATACAGTGTACAAGTATGGGATTCTCAATTTTTCCGCCCTATCATACACGCATAGCAAGCACGTGCAGTGATTGGGCCAGAACAGGCATCATACTGGTTAATTCATGGACCTCAACTAAAAATACTTACTCTTCTCGTGTATGTATCAGTTTTGGGCCGATTTTCTTCGGCTCTGTCTTCGTTTCTCTATGGAGCGACAATGTGAAGAATTTGATAAACAGTGTGATACAATATTTCAATTCACCTTGATGACGAAATAGTATTTTCATGCCGAGAAGCTGGGACAGAAACAAACGTGGTTTGGGGAGATGGACACTGTAACACAATCGAGGACTAGCAACGTTTTTCATGAGAACACATTGGATACGACAGACAGCACGGTACCAATGCCAAGATAAGAGAATGCAGACAAGCCAAAAGACAAGGGTGACAGAGCGGCCAAACAACAATTGCGCACCGGAAGCACGGCATAAACAAAACAATACATTTCGGCTTTGCATGACATGGTAGCATAGTATATTTCCGGAAATAAACATATCGCGATACGATTGAAAACACAATTGAATACAGAGCTTTCTGTGACCAACATAACTTCCAAACACAATTGGGTTGTATGCGGCAAATATTAATTGCATGTCTTGCATATACATGTCTCACATTCTTTCCCTATAGAGTCTAACTCGGTCCACGAACAATTCATCAATATTTGTGGAGAAGCACACTGATACAACCCAAATTTCAGATGGACAAGCACAGTGTTCCGGCTTTTGAATATACTAAGTTTCAAATCTATCACTAGTAGTCCGCAACAAAACTGCTGAAGTCATAACCATGCGTTGTTCCAGAGAAATGTAGCTACACTGAGATGAAATGTGTGTGTCCATGGAAATATCTTATATACATGTGTATTATATTAAAGTAATAAAGGTCGAAAGATAAAATTGTACTTCGACGTGTGAATATACAAATATATGTACAGACTTATATATATATATATATATATATAAGTATATATAA